CGCGTTGAGACTCGGCTCAGCTCGGCTCGGTTCCTCTCCCCGTATTAAAGCATGCGAGTGCTCGTAAAAACGTGTCCCCGTCTCTCTCTCTCTCTCTCTCTCTCTCTCTGTTCTTTCTTTTTACGTTAATTGTAATTAAATGTGATTACCGAGACGCGAGCGAGTTTCCTCCGCGACGAAGATATGCGATACAGTGCGCGATTACGACCTGACCCCCGCAGTAGAGCGGCGGGACGCAAGTCTCGGAGAGTTTCCTCCAACGAGAACGGCGCTCGTAAAGGACGACGAAGCGTGAAAAATGACGTTGAGTGCGCGAGGGCGTGAGGCCTCGTAAAAATATCGTTCGTAGAGCGGGAAATCGCAAACGAGCGCGGCCACAAGCACCGCGATTGCGATCGTTAACCTCGTCGGTCGGCCGCGAATATTCGATTAATTATCGGATTGCGCGAGACGGATAATGCCTTTTTTTCTTCCGTGCATTGCGCATTGCAATATCAAATATTTCGAAGCTGAAATAATTGTCCTCTTTATTACGTCAAATTAGCCTGTGCCGACAAACACGGTAAATACGGCGCGTGGTCGTCGAAATATATTTGGAAATGTAACACCGCGTCCTCAACCGCGCTTTCATTAAACTTTTCTTTTTCATTCCTTTTGCGCACGACAAACGTAGTAAAGGTAGCTTAAACGAATTTTAATCACCGGTATCGCCGCCACTCTGATACATGCCGTGAGATAAAATGCCACTCGGAGTGTATTCATAGAACGGTCTGGAAAATGCCGAGTTGAAACGTGAAACGTTAAATTACTTATTTATTGATGATGTAATTTTAAACATCCACCTAAGCGGGTCAGACCTAAACTTGGGAAACGCTCGATCGGTGAGCCTACATTCCTCGAAAGCTATTCCCGATTCCATACGCCGAAATTCTAGAAGAGGAAATAATTGGATGATAGCAGTGTCTGTCATCGTGACAAACGTGCGAAATTGTCTTCGATTCGCGGGAAAGTAAATAAAATCGTGCGGCCGAGCGAGCGAGAGAAAGTAAGAAAAGGCAAAATATGTATAGAAAATATAATATAAATAGAAAATATTGCTGTGCGCGATTTAATTTCATTTCTGCAGTCGTCGTTACCGCAAGTTCTCGACTCGGTTGCCCCGCATAGAGAAATATCCGGCTGAATCGTTTATCGCCAGTTTAGTCTATCAACGCGACCCGATTGTTTTCGTTCGACGGGCAGAATGCCGGGGCATTTACAAATGCGAATATTTGTCCACGTTAATAATACATAATATCATGCCGGCGCGCTCGTTAAACGTCGCTTTCGCGACCTGCCTGCTCGGTCTCGTTAGCAAAATTGCTATTGGTACGATCGCGCGCGCAAGCGCAATCCATATGCAAATTTTCCAAACGATCTGCTCATCTCGAAGCTAGCGAAACGAAAGGAGATAAAAGCGAGAGGATCTCCCGCCCGTTCCGGAGAGAACGATGGAAAGTCGAAGAAACCGTGAAACAACCGAAACATTTTAGGTTCACATTAATAGACGTTATTTGGAATTTGTTTTCAACTAGAGACACTCGGGTTTTTAATTTAGAATTTGGTGTGAGTTTTTCAGGTAGAATCGCGACTAAAAATGAAATTTATTTTTCGTCAAATGAATTTCATGAGGTCACACATATCGTACGATTCAGCTAAAGCAGAAAGCTGTTGAATTAAATCTGAATCTAAATCCGAATATGTCACGCAAGACAAATGAAGATTATTAATACAGACTTAATAGTCGCGATAAAGACGTCTATAAAAGATCTCCGCTGAATCTTTTTGGAGACTTCTTCTTGAACTTTTCGTTTCAATCGCTTTTTAGCAATCAAGTACTTTCTAAAAAAATCAACGTATTATCATCGTGAAACGTCAATCAATAGTCGCGCAGAACGAATCACAATTCGCCTGCCGGTAAAAGTCCCCGAAACAACGCGCGACGTCTCGATTACATTCAGCCGGAGAGCTTTTCCTATCTGCGGGGTTGTTTTCGCTTGTCGTCCCTTTTCTCCCTTTGTCCGCGGCCCGCGACCAATCCCGTTGCTCTACGGCGGCTCGCCCCGACAAGCCGACTCGCATTAATTGCCGGGAGTCACGACATGTCTCCATTACTCAAGAGCTTCGTTAAAGGGAGGTAAAGAGAATAAGAGGGTACTGCGAGGATATATAAGGGCCGAACGCGAGATAAAGGACGTCGCGCGCGCGTGGTTACGTTTCGCCGTTATTTCTCGCAAATTGAACGCCCCATGGACGTGGCTTCTAACGAGAAAATCAAATCTGGTTCGATCAGCGTGCGAGAGCGAACGAGAGATCTGCCGTCGATCGTTCACCGTCATCCCTCTCAGCGAATTTCGAGCGTTCGCGAGGTCCCTCGTCCGACGCCAATCCCGATTTCATTTTCAAGCCGGACGCGCGTCGCGACGACCTCGAGATTTGTCTAAATGTCCATATGTTTCTCAACGATTTAACAGAGTGAACGACGTCGATCGTTGCGAAATATAGACACGTCTGAATAAACCGCATTCTAAATACCATCGTTCCGCTAATTAATCAGAAATTTCCTGCTGACGACGACGACGACGACGATGACCGATGCAGCTAATAGACCCCTCGCGCTCCGGATTCACCCCGCCAATTATTCCGCCGTGTATTAATTAGCATATATGACCGTGGTAACAAAGTTTCCCGCCTCCGACAATGCCGTCTACGACGGAAACTTACGGCTCTGACAATTCGTAGGTCCAGTTCGCTAACCAGACGCAATTTGGCACCTGGAAATTTCGCCGAAGGCGACTCGATCGCATCCAAGCACCCATTTCTGCGTTAATATCCCGTTAACTTCATCGAACGAGGGAAGGACACGGAGAATCGAAACGATGAAATTATAGATCTCCGCTACGTTTTGCATGAAATTCGCCGATTCGCCACTCGATGCTTTAATAATATCGCAGACGTTTAATTATTTGAGCAAAAAACTCGAAACCGCCGAAACAGCTATTGTGGGCAAGTTTCAAGTTGAACGCAGAGTGCGCCCCATGAAGCCGAATGTAGGCCATGAATGTGCACGGGCAGTAGGGGAAGTATAAAATGCGAAAATATATCCTATTAACTCCCGCGGCGAGTCGAAAGGCCCGTGAAATCGTCTGTACATTACAACGAGGGGGGAGGGGGGGGGGCGGACTATCGCGGGGCAGAAAAATCGCCGACAAGGTACGGCTGCGTGCGGAACTTTAGCAGTTTATTATATCCGAGCGCGCCGACATAGTTCTCTCCCCCGCCGGGCGGAACGGGAGTTTCAAGCAATGGGACGAAATAATCGCGTTTTTACGATACTCCGTGCCGAGTTTTACGAGAATCGGAAGCCTCGGCGACGCTTTTGTGCGGTAAAACTTGTTCGAATGCCACACGCGTCATAAAATCGACAAAGCGAGCCAACGCGGAGTTTTATCATACCCTGGTCGACATACTTTCCCCGTCTATCCAACGCGGTAAGTTCGCATACCACAACGGAGCGGGCAGCAGTCCGCAGACGCGCTCACGGATGGCGCATAAACGTCGCGAAAATATCGCGCGAGCGGTTGAATTAAATCTCGCCGGGGATGCGGATTGATCGCCGTGATTATAAATAGTACTCAAGGGGCGAGAGAACGAGGATCGGAGGGTTGTAATAATCTATACGCGGCGAAAGGAGAATCTGAATTGAAAGTCGCATAAAACGGTCTGGGGGAGGGGGGAGACAGGCAGGGAACATGATAAATATTAAAAATATTATAACATTCTAATCCCGGCAAGCATAATTTATTCACGTACTTTTAACAGGCGAGTTTGCGAAAAATAGAACTGATACGTAACTTTAATCTGATTTACCCAATCCATCCTTGCATCTGTTAACTTTCGATATTTAATTGAAGTTTCGGCTACCTGTGTGTGAATATAACCGCCATAATGCTCTCTTTGCTAAATTATAAAAATATCGTGACCTCTCTCATGCCAAAATGCCTTTCACCATGCTAACAACTTTTTGTTTCCGCGATCACGTTATTTTTTGTCCGAGAGACACTCGGAGACTGATGATCCGCGCGGAAAGAGGCCGGTTACCTAGAGCAAAGCGGAGCACAGAACCCGGTAACTCATAACACCCGCCGGTGGATCGGGCTTTGCATTCGGCTAATTAAGCATTGATAACTAACGAGGTTCCTTTGTGGCGCGTGTCCGCGCCGCCGTTCGGACGAAAGTCACCGGAAAATGTCAGCCGACACGTCGGGATTAAACGCTGTAGCTCGGACGCGCATGCTGGCGAGCGAGTTCGACGTTCGCGACCCCGCGTCGAACAGTAGTCGAGAGTTCGCGAACTCGAACGCAAACTGCGACTTTAATCCTCGCTGATGCGAATTGCTCGCGACGTGATATCTCCGATGGCAGCTGCGTTTCTCTTTGTTTCTCTCTCTCTTCTCTTTTTCCCCACTTTGTTTTATCTCATTCATTCCCGTGGAGAAAGGATTCGCACTCATGTACGTCGCTCGCGACATCAGAAGAGGCGGAATCGATCGTTCCGTTGTTCCGCACTCGTTTCCTGCTTTATCATGCGCGGACGATGATTAATTTAACGACCCGCTATGAGCCCCCAGTCTCCCTTTGAACGCGGCTCAGCGATTGTTTGATTTTGTTCCGCGGCGGGAGAGAAGAAAGGGACGATTGGGAGGGCTTGCCCGCACATATATACAGGATATAATGCCGTAAGCGTTTCTCGATTTTTCCCTTCTTTTTCTCTCTTCCCCTTCACCCTTTTTTTTTCTTTTGCGTACAACGCGCGTCCGTTAATTGGTGGTGCGCCACCGCCAAAGAGATCACCGGGATCGAACAAGCTCTAACATTCCGTGTCCCGACCTTCTGTTGCAGTTTTACCAGCTCCTGGAAGCCAGTCAGGTGGCCAATACCACACTCACGTATCGCCACGTGACCGTATTTGCGCCCACTAATCGAGCGTTCCAGAAGTACAACGGGAGCACGAAGAATTTGGTTCTCTACCATATGTGTGAGTACAATTGAATTCTTTGATCTCAAGGGTGAAAGAGCGGGAGAAAGAGCAGCGGCTTCAAAAGCCCGGTGCGCGGAGAGATTTTTTCCGAAAAATATTACATTCGCAAGATGAAAAAAAGATTGTACTTTGGTGTCCGATTAAAAGAAATTCATATCGTTTGAAATATTGAAATAGGGTACGGAAAAAACTGTTCCTATATGCCCATTAAGCTTTCATGTTGTCAACTTGAAAAGGTATTCGAATAAGCTGCTAATTAATTGCTGTAATATATAAATTTTAGTTTTAGTACAAATATGTCCCGTTCGTGTTGTACAGTCTAGTATATTATTCCGCGAAAATTCTCTCCGTGTAGTTAATATTTGATCGCATGCGCGTACTAGTGGTGATGGTGGTTGGTGGTAATGTGCTTTTCACATAATTTCCAAAAATTTGAAATGCAAAGCACACGAATATCCGTGTAACGATATTGTGAAAGTCGCAAAATAAATAAACCTTCGTGATAAGCTACGTTACATCCCAATTGTTCAAACGGAACACGAAAAGGAATCCTAAGAACACATTGATAGAAAATTATAGTTATTTTCGGCGCTAAACACATTCTACAACAACATGCATGTAAAATTATTACCACTTTATTAGACACTTACTAGAAAGCTGGTTCTCCTCACTATTTCTGCGGTTAAAGTAAAAAAGGGATATGTGTGGCGCCGAAAATGACTATAATTTTCTATCAGTGTCCGAATCGAAATTTTAAATACAACATTAAGTCTTCAAGTGGGGAAAACGGCAATAATTTCCCGATTGTAGCACCAAAGGAGTACAATAAAAGACCTCTGAACACTTGATGTGGAACTAAATTACACTTAAAGTAGGACTAAAATTTCGACTCGGATGCACGTCGCAAAAATTCACCAAATCTTTCTCAACAGTCATCGAGCATTAAGCTGGAGAAACGTACGAATTTCAAAGGAAAACTACTCCTCGATAATTCCCAGAAGAAACGAATTCGCGACACGCACGATAATTAAATCCGCAGCGAGCCGCCGACGACGCGTGTGTGTGAAATCGTCCAACAATGGTAGACAGGAAAATTTAATATTTCCTCAACTATTGTGTCACGCGGCGTTTTCCGGAGCGGACCGACGCGACGGAATCCGCAATTCGCAACGATTTTCGCGAGAGTTCGCGAGCGTCCGTCGCTCCTCCCTCCCGCACGTCCGCATTATTTCCTACCTTCCTTCCTTTTCTCGCCGGTTTTTCGCGCGAGAGTGCATTAGCCAGCTCGCCGTCAGGTTTCGGTATTTCACCCTTTGATCTCAACGGGGTGCTCGCTCGCGTTCGCGCGTGCATCCGTAATATATCCGCCGCGAGCTGCAAAGCCGCGCGGCTTGGAAGGTGCATTCGGTATGCGCCGGACGTTTACCGTGCTTTCCGCGTAATTCACGGGCTTCTTCGATGGCCGAATGAACGGGCGGGCCCGCCGTGCAATCCGTTATCGACATGTATCCGCGTTTACGACCATTCGGCATTCATCGATGTAGATCCTGATAGAAAGGGACGACCTGCGACGCGATGGGGAGGATAGATGAAACGGCGACGACAGTGATGAGAGGGAG